CCCGCGTCCCCTGCATCGGCAGGCGGACCCCCAACCACCGCGCCACCAGGGAAGCCCTAAGTCTTTTTAAAAGTCTTTTTAAAGTCTTTTCTTTCCGGCTTTATTGAGATATAATTGACATATAACATTGTGTATGTTTAAGGTGTATAACATAATGATTTAGTATACTTACATATTGAAAATGATCACCACCACAGCTTTAGCTAATGCCTCCTTCATATTACATAATTATCGTTTCTTTTTTGTGGTGAGAACATTTAAGATCTACTCTCTTAGCAACTTTCAAGTATATTATATTGTTAACTATAGTCACCATGCTGTATGTTAGATCCCCAGAACCCATTCATCTTGCAACTGGAAATTTGTATCCTTTGACCATCTTCACCTATTTCTCCCACCACCCAGCCCCTGGCAACCACCATTATTCTCTCTTTCTGTGAGTTTGGCTTTTTTAGATTCTACATGCAATACTACACAGTGCTTGTCTTTCTCTGACTTATTTCACTTGGCATAATGCACTCAAGTTTTATCCAGGTTGCTAAAAATGACAGGATTTCCCTCTTTTTATGGCTGAATAATATACTACTGCATATACATACCACTTTCTACCATACCATCCATTCCTCCATAGGTTAGGTTGTTTACATATCTTGGCTATTGTGAATAATGTTGCAATGAACGTGGAAGTGCAGATATCTCTTTAAGATCCTGATTTCATTTACTTTAGATATATACCCAGAGGTGGGATTGCTAGATCATATGGTAGTTCTATTTTTTATTTTTTGAGGAACCTCCATACTGTTCTCCATAGTGGCTGCACCATTTTACATTCCCACCAACAAAGCACAAGGGTTCCACACCTCTTCTCCACATCATCACCAACACTTGATTTCTCTTGTCATTTTGATAACGTTCTAAGAGTTGTGAGGTGACATCCCATTGTGGTTTTGATTTGGTTTTACTTGATAATTAGTCATGTTTAGCAACTTTTCCTGTACCTTTTGGCCATCTGTATATCTTCTAGGTCTATTCACATCCTCTGCCCATTTTTTAATCAGATTGTTTTTGTTTTTGTTTTGCTTGAGTTGTATGAGTTCTATATACATTTTTTAAAACTTTATCAGATAGATGGTTCGCAAAAATTTTCCATTTTATAGACTGCCTTTTCATTTTGTATTCAGTGTATTCTGAATTTGACTATATACTTACCTTTACCACTGCGTTGTATATTTTTATGTTTTCACATTACTGTGTCCTCTCATTTCAGCTTGAACTCCTTTCAGTATTTCTTTTTTTAAAATCTTTCTAAAATATTTAATTATACTTAATTTAATCTTAACAATTTCATCAAAATTCAACTTCATATAAATAATTGTATTTAAATTTTTATTTTCTCAATTATAATTACCATATTGCCTATTAAATTTAATAGAATTTTTTGAATACTACTAGAGCTAATCAATGAATTTGGTAAAGTAGCAGGATACAAAATTAATGCACAGAAATCTCTGGCATTCCTATATACTAATGATGAAAAATCTGAAAGTGAAATCAAGAAAACACTCCCATTTACCACTACAACAAAAAGAATGAAATATCTAGGAATAAACCTACCTAAGGAGACAAAAGACCTGTATGCAGAAAATTATAAGACACTGATGAAAGAAATTAAAGATGATACAAACAGATGGAGAGATATACCATGTTCTTGGATTGGAAGAATCAACATTGTGAAAATGACTCTACTTCCCAAAGCAATCTATAGATTCAATGCAATCCCTATCAAACTACCACTGGCATTTTTCACAGAACTAGAACAAAAAATTTCACAATTTGTATGGAAACACAAAAGACCCCGAATAGCCAAAGCAATCTTGAGAACAAAAAATGGAGCTGGAGGAATCAGGCTGCCTGACTTCAGACTATACTACAAAGCTACAGTAATCAAGACAGTATGGTACTGGCACAAAAACAGAAAGATAGATCAATGGAATAGGATAGAAAGCCCAGAGATAAACCCATGCACATATGGTCACCTTATCTTTGATAAAGGTGGCAGGAATATACAGTGGAGAAAGGACAGCCTCTTCAATAAGTGGTGCTGGGAAAATTGGACAGGTACATGTAAAAGTATGAGATTAGATCACTCCCTAACACCATACACAAAAATAAGCTCAAAATGGATTAAAGACCTAAATGTAAGGCCAGAAACTATCAAACTCTTAGAGGAAAACATAGGCAGAACACTCTATGACATAAATCACAGCAAGATCCTTCTTGACCCATCTCCTAGAGTAATGGAGATAAAAACAAAAATAAACAAATGGGACCTAATGAAACTTCAAAGCTTTTGCACAGCAAAGGAAACCATAAACAAGACCAAAAGACAGCCCTCAGAATGGGAGAAAATATTTGCAAATGAATCAACTGACAAAGGATTAATCTCTAAAATTTACAGGCAGCTCATGCAGCTCAATAACAAAAAAATAAACAACCCAATCCAAAAATGGGCAGAAGACCTAAATAGACATTTCTCCAAAGAAGATATACAGACTGCCAACAAACACATGAAAGAATGCTCAACATCATTAATCATTAGAGAAATGCAAATCAAAACTACAATGAGATATCATCTCACACCAGTCAGAATGGCCATCATCAAAAAATCTAGAAACAATAAATGCTGGAGAGGGTGTGGAGAAAAGGGAACACTCTTGCACTGCTGGTGGGAATGTGAATTGGTTCAGCCACTATGGAGAACAGTATGGAGGTTCCTTAAAAAACTACAAATAGAACTACCATATGACCCAGCAATCCCACTACTAGGTATATACCCTGAGGAAACCAGAATTCAGAAAGAGTCATGTACCAAAATGTTCATTGCAGCTCTATTTACAATAGCCCGGAGATGGAAACAACCTAAGTGCCCGTCGTCGGATGAATGGATAAAGAAGATGTGGCACATATATACAATGGAATATTACTCAGCCATAAAAAGAAACGAAATTGAGCTATTTGTAATGAGGTGGATAGATCTAGAGTCTGTCATACAGAGTGAAGTAAGTCAGAAAGAGAAGGACAAATACCGTATGCTAACACATATATATGGAATTTAAGAAAAAAAAATGTTATGAAGAACCTAGGGGTAAAACAGGAATAAAGACAGAGACCTACTGGAGAACAGACTTGAGGATATGGGGAGGGGGAAGGGTGAGGTGTGTTAGGGCGAGAGAGAGACATGGACATATATATACTAACAAACGTAAGGTAGATAGCCAGTGGGAAGCAGCCGCATGGCACAGGGAAACCGGCTCGGTTCTTTGTGGCTGTCTGGAGGGGTGGGATAGGGAGGGTGGGAGGGAGGGAGACAAAGAGGGAAGAGATATGGGAACATATATATATGTATAACTGACTCACTCTGTTATAAAGCAGAAACTAACACACCATTGTAAAGCAATTATACCCCAATAAAGATGTTAAAAAAAAAAAAAGAATAATTTTAATTTTTAAATTTTTAATTAACTATACTATTCTTTTTTGATTAAGATATACTCAAATTTTTACAAGTGCAATTTTGCACTTGTAGCTCAATGAGCTACAAGAAAACACAGAAAGACAATTTTTAAAAATCAGGAATACAATATACAAACAAAATGAGAAGTTTAACAAAGAGATAGAAATCATTAAAAAGAACCAAAGAGAAACTCTGGAGCTGAAGAATACAATAAGTGAATTGAAAAATGCAACATACAGCATCACCAGCAGAACAAATGAAGCAGAAGAAAGAATCTGTGGATTAGAAGACAAGAACTTTGGAATTATTCAGTCAAGGAAAACAAAGAAAAAAAGAATGAAAAAGAGTGAAGAAAGCCTACTGACCTATGGATACCATCAAAAGAAGCAATATGTGAATTACTGGAGTCCCAGAAGAAGAGAGGGAGAAGGGGGCAGAAAGTTTATCTAAAGAAATAGAGTGCCGACTCCCGGGTATCCCCAGCCCGCCCGCCGCGGCACGGCGAGCGGGAGCAAGGACCGCGAGCCAAGCAAAGTAAAGCAGCAGTTCGGCTGAAAGAAGACATGAAACAGATTGTGACAGTGCCACTAAACGAGCAGAGGAATTCCACCTACACAAAGTTATTTGGAGTCAGTCTCCAAGACCTCCACCAGCAGGGGCTGACTGAGAACGGCGTTCCAGCTATCGTGGGGAGCATAGTGGAGTACTTGACCATGCATGGACTCACCCAGGAAGGCCTTTTTCGGGTGAATGGCAACGTCAGGGTGGTGGAACAGCTTCGATGGAAGTTTGAGAGTGGGGTGCCTGTGAAGCTGGGGAGGGACGGCGACGTCTGCGCAGCGGCCAGCCTGTTAAAGCTCTTCCTGAGGGAGCTGCCGGAGGGCGTGATCACCTCGGCACTGCAGCCTCGGTTCATTCAGCTCTTTCAGGATGACAGAAATGATGCTCAGGAGAGTAGCTTAAGAGCCTTAATAAAAGAGCTGCCAGACACCCACTACTGCCTCCTCAAGTACCTTTGCCAATTCTTGACAAAAGTAGCCAAGCACCATGTGCAGAACCGCATGAATGTTCACAATCTCGCCACTGTATTTGGGCCAAATTGCTTTCATACACGGGCCTCTCCCTGTTGTGGCCTCTCCCGTTGCGGAGCACAGGCTCCGGACACGCGGGCTCAGTGGCCATGGCTCATGGGCCCAGCCGCTCCGTGGCGTGTGGGATCTTCCCGGACCGGGGCACGAACCGGTGTCCCCTGCATTGGCAGGTGGACTCTCGGCCACTGTGCCACTAGGGAAGCCCTCTTGAAACCTTTTTTGATTTAAAGTCTGTTATGTCTGATATTAGAATAGCCACCTCTGCTCTCTTTTGCTTACTATAAGAATGGAATATCTTTTTCCATCCTTTTACTTCTAACCTGTTTGTGTCTTTGGATCTCAAGTCTCTTGTAGATAGCATATGGTTGGATCATGTGTTTTTATCCTTTCTGCCATTCTCTGTCTTTTGATTGGAGAGTTCAGTCCATTTACATTTAAAGTAATTACTGATAAGTAGGAATTTCTGTTGGAGAGTTCAGTCCATTTACATTTAAAATAATTACTGATAAGTAGGGATTTCTGTCATTGTGTTATTTGTTTTCTATATGCCTTATAGCTTTTTTCTTCTTCTAGTGTTATTGAGATGTAACTGACATATAGCACTGTATAAGTTTAAGGTGTACAGCATGATGGTTTGACTTATATACATCATGATTACCACAGTAAGTTTAGTGAACACCCATCATCTCATATAGGTACAAAATAAAGAAAAATAATTTTTTCCTTGTGATAAGAACTCTTAGGATTTATTCTGTTAAATATATTCTTATAAAACATACAGCAGTGTTAATATTTCTCATGTTGTACATTACATCCCAAGTACTTATGTATCTTATATAATTGGAAGCCTTATAGCCTCTTTGTAGCTCAGTTCCTGCGTTAGTATTCTCTCTTGTGTTAAGTTGATTTTTTTTGTACTGAAATGTTTAAATTCCTTTCTCGTTTCCTTTTTTGTCCATTCTATGGCTATTTTCTTTGTGGTTACCATGGGGATTACATTTACTGTCCTAAAGTTTTAATATTCGAATTTGAATAAATACCAGCTTTACTCCAGTAACATACAAAAACTTTGCTCCTTTACAGCTCCAGTTTTGGTGGAGTCTTCAGGGTTTTCTATATATGACATCATGTCATCTGCAAAGAGTGACAGTTTTACTTCATCTCTTCCAGTGTCAATGTCTTTTCTTTTCTTGCCTAATGGCTCTGGCTATGACTTCCAATACTATGTTGAATAAAAGTGTTGAGAGTGGGAAAAAATAAATAAATAAATAAATAATTTAAAAAAAGAAAGTTTATCTAAAGAAATAAAGGCTGAGAATTTACCAAATCTGGGGAGACATTTTGAATTTATTTATTTATTTTTGGCTGCATTGGGTTTTTGTTTCCATGCATGGGCTTCTCACTGCGGTGGCTTCTCTTGTTGCGGAGCACAGGCTCTAGACGCGTGGGCTTCAGTAGTTGTGGCACACGGGCTTAGTCGCTCCACAGCATGTGGGATCTTCCCGGACCAGGGCTTGAACCTGCGTCCCCTGCATTGGCAGGCAGATTCTTAACCACTGTGCCACCAGGGAAGCCCTTGGGAGACATTTTGATATCCAAGTTCGTAGAGCTCAGAGGTCACCAAACAGACTGACCTGAATTCTTTACCGGGTAAATCACAGATCTCCATGTCTTTGAGGTCCGTTACTGGAAGATTACTGTGACCCTTCAATGTTGTCATGCTTCCTCTGATTTGTCATGTTCCTTGGAGTCTTATGTTGCTGTCTTCACATTTGGAGCAGCAGTCACCTCCTCCAGTCTTTACTAACTAACGTCAAGAGAGAAATACCCTCCATCAGCCCAGCTAGGGATTCTGAGGCTCTCTCAGATTTTCTATGGATACACCTGCTCCATGCTTCTTGCTCCCTCCTGTGGCAGAATTCTTAAGCTTGAATGCCTTCTCTCAGTCCTATAAAGCACCAGGCTGGGTGCTGATAGCCTCTCTTTTGCTTTCCCAAGTGTGGAGTGGAAGCTCAAGTTTTTGGACTTCCAGGTCTGCAGATTCTGGCTGCCTTTCTGTGCGTGTTCACTAGCCATCTGCTGAAGCTTGCTCTTGCTATCATCAGGAGCACACACAGAGAGCCTGCCACAGGATGTCGGGGTGTGTGGGGGTGAGGCATGCAGAGCCCTGGTGGTACCCATATGCCCACTGGGGAGATCTATGAGCAAGACATTCCCAGCAGCTCATGGGTAGGCTTCTTGATGAAGTCCACAGCACAGTTAGTAGAATCTGCATCCTTTTAATGTCCTCCAAGAGGCCTATCTGCTGCTCTCCCACCCTCTTTCCACCCCAAGTCATGCAGCGCACAACTCGGTACTTTGGATGCAGCAAGAGAGAACTGGGTCTCTTTGGCAATGTCCCACACAGCTGATGTTCACTCACACACTGCCCTTTTACCCCACAGGAGAAATCACAGGCCAAGAAGGTCTCGCTTGACACTGAGCTGTGCTGCCTTGGGAGAAGGGCGATTCAGCTAAAGTCACGTTCTTCCTCTTACCCTTTCCAATATGCCTAAACTCGTATTTTTTTTTGCTCCAACAATATGCTGGAACTTCTCCACTGAAAACCTGGACTTCCACAAAGGCTCTCTCATCCATGAGTGACTGTCTATGTCATTATTCTCCAGGAGCTCCTGGACCCTGGCTGAGAGAGGCTAGAGCCAGTTCACAGGCCACTTTAGAGTCCACAGTCAACTGAGGTCTGTATGCCTATTGCCCAACACACAGGTGGGTGAGATTCCTCCTGGTTCCCCTGACATATGGTGCTGGGTCCCTCAGCTCTCACAAAAGAACCATTGTCCTTGGAGGATGCCAAATTATTGTTGCTGAAGGGGATACAATGAGGGACATCTTATTCAGCCATGTTGCTGATGTCATTCCTGTTACCCAATTTTCTGGACCACTTTTTATACAAGACGTATTTTATACAATACACCCTTTGGTATTCAAAATAGACCCCTCAGAACTACAAGTCAAACTCAAACATCCGGGCTTCCCTGGTGGCGCAGTGGTTGGGGGTCCGTCCGCCTGCCGATGCGGGGGACGCGGGTTCGTGCCCCGGTCCGGGAGGATCCCGCATGCCGCGGAGTGGCTGGGCCCATGGGCCGTGGCCACTGGGCCTGCGTGTCCGGAGCCTGTGCTCCGCAATGGGAGAGGCCGCAGCGGCGAGAGGCCCGCGTACCGCAAAAAAAAAAAAAAAAACTCAAACATCCTAAATTGCCAGGAGTCTATATGCTAGTTTAAGAAAAATAATTTGTTTTGCTATATTCATCCCATTCTTGTTTAAAGAAAGGCTATAACTGGCCTCAAGGCCTGCTGGCTACATTTCTCAACACAGAGGTTCTAAGTCAGGGTTCATCAAACTTCTGCAAAGTTCTGGGTAGTTATTATTTGAGGCTTGGTGAGCCACACAGTCTGTTGCAACTAGTTAACTCTGCGATTGTGGCACAGAAGCAGCCACGCACAATATGTAAATGAATGGTTATGGCTGTGATCCAATAAAACATTATTTACAAAAACAGATGGTGAGTTTGGCAGTTCCTCAAAAAGTTAAACACCTTATCACCCAGCAACTCTACCCCTAGATAATTATCCAGAAGGATAAAAACAGGTATTCAAATAAAAACTTGCACACAAATGTTCATAGCAGCCCTATTCACCATGGCTAAAAACTAAAATAGAGCTACCATATGATCCTGCAGTCCCACTCCTGGACATATATCTGGAGAAGATCATAATTCAAAAAGATACATGCACCCAAATGTTCATAGCAGCACTATTTACAGAGGCCAAGACATAGAAACAACCTAAATGTCCATTGGCAGATGAATGGGTAAAGATGTGGTGTGTATATATATATATATATATATATATATATATATATATATATATACAATGGAATATTGTTCAGCCATTAGAAGAATGAAATAGTGCCATTTGCAGCAACATGGTTGGACCTAGAGATTGTCATACTAAGAGAAGTAAGCCAGACAGAGAAAGACAAATATCATATGATATCATATGATACAGCTATGACATGTAGCTGTCCAGTTTTTCCAGCACCACTTATTAAAGAGAATGTCTTTTCTCCATTGTATATTCTTGCCTCCTCTGTCATAGATTAATTGACCACAGGTGCATGGGTTTATTTCTGGGCTTTCTATCCTGTTCCATTGATTTTTATTTTTGTTTTTGTGCCAGTACCATACTGTTTTGATGACTGTAGCTTTGTAGTATAGTCTGAAGTCAGGGAGCCTCATTCCTCCAGCTCCATTTTTCTTTCTCAAGATGGCTTTGGCTATTCGGGGTCTTTTGTGCTTCCATACAAATTTAAAAATTTTTTGTTCTAGTTCTGCAAAAAGTGCCATAGGTAATTTGATAGGGATTGCATTGAATCTGTATATTGCCTTGGGTAGTATAATCAGTTCGACGTAGTTTGTTGACACTTGTTCTAAACCAACAAGCCAAGAGTTGAGGTACTGAAGCACACCACTGCCCATGTGTAGAGCATTCAAAGCCATCCAGCAGTGCTGGAGGAGGGAAGGGGTGTGCAGTCTTACACCTCCCTAAAATTGACATCAGGCACCACACATGACCTGTGAAGGCAGGAAAGCTTCTAAGAAGACTTGGTGTCTAAGTTGAGTCCTAAATTAGGGAGGAAAGGGTATTCCACTCACAGCACATGGTAAGGCCAGAGGTGAGATGGCTTAGTCTTTCCACAAAACCAAAAGATATTTAATATTGGACTAAAGAAGGAGATGGAATGAGGAGGTATATGGCTAGGCAGGGAAATAAGAGTCACAACATTAGGGCATGGTAAAAAATTTGGATTTTATCCTGAGGGCAGAGGAAAGCTTGTCTAGGTATTTCAGCAAAGGAGGTGGAAAACCAGATTTGTTTTTTTGGAAGCATGACTCTCAGTGTGTCCAGATGATGGGCTGGGAGAAAGAGATTCTAGAAACCAGGAGAAACTTGGCAAAACAAAAATTTTTTTGAATGACTTACAGCACACAAATAGAGCTTCAAGGCAAATTCTCATAGAAAAGAAAAGTTGGCCTATTGGAGGTTTTCCACATCAGGCAGACTCCTCTTTCAAATAAGAACAAGAAATTTTTAATTTTTCCAAGAAGTTCAATAAAGACCATCATAAGGATTTAGTGGCCAGGCCCAGAATGAGTTGAGCAAAGCAAAAATGATAGGGAAGTAAAATATAAAATGCGAATCTATTTTCCACTTTTACTGAGGCCAATACAGATGGAAAGGAGCTTGCAGTTTTCCATGAATAACAACTGAAGCAGAAAACAGTGTTGATTATTATTATTATTGTCATTATTATTACTATTATAATTTATGTTAATAACAACATTCTATGGGACTATTTAAATAGAGGATGCCTTGGGAGGCAAAGACAGTCTAAGGAATTTCATATCAAAATTTCATTTGCAGCTCACAGTCTCCTTAGCATCACTAATTAATATTCTCTCCCTAAACAAATAAGAATTGATGAGGTTGGCAAGCTACTGAAATAGTGCTTATCACAGGAAATGATGGAGAAAAAACCGAATGAAAGTACTGGGGTCACACTTGTGATTATTATCACAACAAAATGCTTCTGAGGAACAGCCTGGCAAAATGCACCTGTACCATAATGCCTGTAAGATAAATGGCTTCAGGACAATTGAAAATTAAAACAAATCTCAGGTTCAGTCACTGAATTTAAACATTGGGAAAATGCACATTTTGCTCCAGCCATCAATTCTTGGCAGGTTTTTTGGATTTGGTTTTGTTTTGTTTTTTCACGCCAGCATTGCATTCTATAATAGGTTTCCTCACAATCTATTTCAAATACACACCTAAGGGCACTCGATTCCTGGTGCTGCTGAGGCAGTGACTCATTAGAACATGGGCTTTGGAGTCTGAGAGATGTGAGTTCAAATCCTCATTCTGCCATTAGCTACATGTGATTAACAGCCACTCTGTGTCTCAGTTTCCTTATCTGTAAAATGGGGATGATAATGCTGTCTAACTTTACAGAATTTTAAAAGGTGATGGTTCTAAGGGGATGTCCAGCACCTGACATACGTTTCAGTAAGTGGCAGTTGTTGTGGAATAATGATTTGTGTAGCCCTTCCCCTGCTCAAGGGAGATAAAAGAAACAGCCCACGCTGAGTCCGATCCTGCACTGAGCCCACTGACTTTCAAGAAATATGCGTTGTTTGAATGAGAATGAATGCATGATCCTGGTAACTGTCTGGTCACTCTGAATTCCCGTCCAGTTTCTAGAACCATCTTGCTTTCTCTTGCTTAAGTGGCAAGTGGATCTTCTTGTGTATCAATTATAACAAGCCCTGACCAACAGAGAGATGAAGTCCCTGAAAGGGCATAGAGATGGCACAGAGCCCCAGCCCATTAACCTTGAGAGCAGGGGTCAGAGAGAGGGGAAGTTCCATCTGTTGGCTAGGTGTGGTCCAAGGAGCAATTTTTAAACTCTACGTAGTAAAGGTCTCTTTTGGAGTCAATAAATATTGCCAATTATTACAAATAATAATACCATTCATCAAGTGCTTACTATGTCCCAGGTATTTGGCTTAGCACTTTAAAATACATTATCTCATTTAATCCTCGTGACAGTACTGTAAGGTCTAAATCTCTATTATTCCCCATTTTATTCGGAGGAAACTGGAAACCTAGAGATAATAAGTAATTTTCCCAGATTACGCAGCTGGAATTCAGACTCAAGGTATCTGGTTCTAAAAATCCAAATACTTAACCACTATACTATTATACATCACCTCCCAAGCAAATACAGACCCTTAGACAAATATAAACATATCACCTGCTTTGGTTTCCAGTGGCTGCCATAACAAAAGATGACGAATTGGGTGGCTTAAACAACAGAAATTTATTGTCTCACAGTTCTGGAGCCTGGAAATCTGAGATCAAAGTACTGGCAGGGTTGATTTCTCCTGAGGGCTGTGAGGAAAATCCATTCCTTGCCTCCCTCCTAGCATCTGATGGTTTGCTGGCAATCTTTGCCATTCCTTGACTTATATCTCTGCTTTCATCTTCATATGGTGTTCTCCCTGTGCATGTGTTTATCTCCAAAGGTCCCCTCTTTATAGGGACACCAGTTATATTGGATTAGGAGCCCACCCTACTCCAGGATGACCTCATCTGAACTAATTACATTTGCAATAGCCCTGTCTCCAAATAAAATCACATTCTGAAGCCCTGGAGGTTAGGACCTCAACAATGAATGGTGGGGGCAGGGGAGGGGAGGAGGGTTACACAATTCAACCCATCACATCACCCAAATCCATTTGTCTTTACTGGTTATCCCCTCATCTTCTGACCCAGGGATATGGGGGAAGGGAGCAGGATTTCCAGACACTCATACTGCAATATGCAACTCTTATTCCAAATCCCACAAAGCCATTTATCCTATGTTAGAAAGGAGGATTGAAAAGGGATACAGTGCAAAAGATGTCAAACCAAAGATAAATGTTTCCTCAGGGGC